CAGCATCTTGATATGCCACACCTGTGAGGTGGATGGATTATCTCGGCAAAGGAGAAGTGCTCACTAACACAGATTTAGACAGATTTTTGAACAATATTTGAGAGAAACAGGCCTTTTGTGTACATTGAACAAGTCATAGATCTTTGAGTTCAGCTCATGAAAAATAGGGGCAAACACAAAAGTGTTGCATTTATAATTTTGTTCAGTGTATTAATGTTACACTGTCTTAAAACTATTTTGGCTGGAAAAAGTATTTATGTACCTTGGCCTTCTTTACCCTCGCACTTCAGAAGAAACATGTCAGAGTGGATGGTCCCCTTCTCTACATCCTTCTTGACTCGCTAGATAAACACAATTATTAGACAGACCACATTACAGAAAGTAATATATTATCCTTATGGGGTAGGCACATATTCAACTATAGCACCCTCACCACTTTAGAGTATCCCCCATAGATGATGACACCTGTGCCATCGGGTGTGGACGTCATCTGACAGGCAGAGCGTGGAGAGGGGGCAGAGCCTGATGGGCTGAGGCGTGACCATGAGTAGGTGTCCAGGGAGAAAGAGAAAACGTCACTGTAGTAGATAAAATCCCTGAATGGGGGGAGGAGCCAAAAATAGAAAACAGTTTCAGTGGTGTTGACTTCATGACCCATTGCTGAAAGACACCTCAAGATCTTCAAGCTGCAATAAGAAGCTTCACACATAAATGACATAAAATGTCCAAAGAGTTTAAAGGTGCATTAACTAAATTCTGACACACTGTCTGATAAATAAAGTGCAAATGGGAGAGGCCATGATGTCTCTCCGCTATACTACCCTTCTTCTTGACACTCTGCTGCCTATGCTGTTCTTCTGTTGTTATTCCAGCTTCTCTACCGTGTATTATCAAAGTATTGTCTGTAAATTAGCCCTGCCTGTTGCCTAGTCAAGGTTTTTACAAAGCATTTTTTAAACCATAAGGACCCATTTCAAACAGCCAACCATTGAGGAGCTCTTGGCAGCTAAAAGTCCAGATCAGTGGCTGGCAGCCCGAAGAGGTGTTAAAAGCAGCCAAAGTATTCAAACTTGATTCAGATGTGGCCTTCTTCCTTCTGAATGTGTTAGCAGATAAAACTAACGTGTTTGTTTTGGTAACAGGTTAGGTAGCAACCTAACATAGCCATGATTTTAACCTTAGTGTTGAATGAATAGAATTTAAATCTGGCAGTAATTCAACCACTGTGTAACATTAGTACTTAGCAGTAACGAGACCATTTAACCATTTGAGTCCAGTTGTTTTTACACAAACACTGCTGTTTCATCATTAAAAGTGCATTAATCATTTTCTTTGGTCATTTCGTGAGAAAGCTCCATAACCAGCTGAATAGCTCACACAGGTATGACATTTTCAAGACAAGCTGATATGCCTAATATGCCAACCAACAGCTGCCTTTTTACACATCAAAGCAACATTAGTAGCAGTGGTGGCTCTAGAAAATTTCACACAGGGTTCTGGAAATGGGATATGCTGTCTGGGGGTGTGCATCATTATATGTCACAGATTAAACAGAAAACAATAACTAAAAATGTATTTTACTGAGTGAAATGCAATGTTACTACACTGGAACTATTATACATCAGTTCAGCTGGAACTCTCTGTGTCTTCATCACTCCCTGCTTCTGTTCCTCAGTGGATATGGAAAGTTTTCAGACCCTTTCAAGTTTTCCACATTTTGTTATGCTTCAGGTTCATCTTAAAATTGATTATTTTTTCTCATTCACTTAAACACAGTACTCCCCAATGACAAAGCAAAAAACAGGTTTTTGGAGTGTTTTGTAAATATATTAAAAATAAGAGACTGAAAAATCAATTTACATAAGTATTCAGAACGATGGTTACGTACAGTAACCCAAGCTTCTATGAGTATAGGCGTAGCCCTCTAAGAGCTGTCGCTATTGGGATAAAAGCGCAGCTGGATGTAGTCAATGCCCTGTTGGCACACCGCTGCCCAGGAGCATTAACACACACCTCAGCTTGCCAACATACCCCATAATAGCAGCCCAAACAACATCCCCTCTCCTGTATCAGGCCTTGCCTAAGAAGCAGGTGCAATCGTGCCTATATAAACACCTGACTGCCGCTGTAAGAAGGCAAAATGGCCATTCTGTTAACAGGAGAGGAGAAGTGCAGGGAAGAGCGCACAGATAACAGTTAAATTGCAAGAGCATACAGGCTCTAACAGTGTACAGAGATAATCAGATGCTCATATTAGGCAGCGGGGGTCTCACAACAGTAATAACAATATTACAAACAGAGAACAGTAAGCATGACTGACAAGCCAACCATAATCAGGCACGTAGGACCGGCAAAAGAGAACATGAGTACCAGAGAGAGTGCACAGACAGAGTGCATGTGTGCAGTAAGGGGCACACACACACAGGGTACAGCGGTCGCTTGCATTGAAAGTACAGTCGAGTGAGAGTACATGGCTGACAAGTAATCACCCGAGCGAAAAACACAAATGTGGAATCAGCGCTCAGTGGCAGTTGTGCGCTCGCGTTCCACGACAAGGGGTGCCTCCCGGTCATGTAGAACACTCAGGACCGAGTGAGCCAGTGGAAACTCGGACGCGTCCCGAAGGTAGAATCGGGTCAAAGGACACGGAGAGGCTCATGAGGCTGCTGTGCAGATATGCTCCACTGCCATGCCTTTAAAGAGGGCAGTGGGCTCTGATGTCCGGTGGGGGAATCACACCCAGCTAACATGTAAGCCTGTGTGATAGCTTCACACAGCCAGTGAGGCAGCCATGGTCTGGTTAAAGGCTGAGCAAGAGAATGCCTCCTGTAATGAACAAACAGTTGTTGGGACTGTCTGACAGCTGCCCTGCGCGCCATGTAATGGGACAGCGCGTGCACCGAACAGAGAACATGAAGTTCTTTCTCCGACTCATCTCTGTGGGGCGGAGGAAAGAACCCACCCAGGTAATGACTCTGGATTGAAAAGAAGATGTTATTATTATTTTCAGCGCATACGTCTTCGCGTATGAGAAGGCACGCCGCTGAGGCAGACAGTGCACACAGATGGCCCACTCGCTTAGCCAAAGTTAGGGCTAAGAGAAGCGCTGTTTTCAGAGAGAGATGTTTGAGAGAGATTTGTGTTATGGGCTCAAAGGGGGGTTCCCTGAGAACATGTAAAACCAGAGGTAAATCCCTCTGAGATGCCACTGAACGCATCACAGGCCTTTGTCTGCCTACACCCCTGAGAAAGCATTTCACCAGCGGGTTTGCAAACACCAAAACCTTCATGACATGAGGAGATGGCAGTGGCATAAGCTGCAAGAGGACTCCGATTCCTGCTCTGCGTAGCAGCACTAACGCCACTTCCACGCACTTGGAAAATGGGCCAGCGAATAGTTGAAGGGCAGCCTGTTGTACTGGAAAAGTCCACCTCGGAAGGAGAAAAGCAGGAATTTCCTGTGTTTGGGGATAATAGGTACATGAAAATAGGCGTCTCACAGATCGATGGAAGTAAACCAATCGCTGGGATGTACACACTCCAGTACTTGTTTTGTGGTGAGCATGTGAAACAGTCTCTGTACTATGTAGAGAGACAGATCGAGGATGGGTCTCATTTTGCCTGATTTTTTGGGAACCACGAAGATACAGTAGCTGCAGCGGGGCGTGGCTGTGGAGAAGGCTTAAAGTTAAGTGCACCTCAAGGCACAAGTGTGTGCGAGGGAAGAACTGAGCAGTGGGGAAAACGTGTGAGAGACAGTGAGCACACAGACAGAGAGGGGAGCACTTGTCAGAAAACTGCTCTTATGAGTCTGGTGGTGTCCCTGAAAAGACAGTTGTGGTTCAAGCAGGGTCAACAGGGACGTTGGCAGCGCAACTGCATCCTCTGTTGTGGAGAGAACTCATAAAATGAGCGCCCCACTCAGGCTTTTTCTTTTTTGTCACATTGTTAGTCGCTGCACCTGCCTTGGATGCACATTAATGAACACGGCCCGAGAGGCGAGCAGTGACCTGGTTCTGCGAGCAGATGATTGGCCGGCCTCCTGCCAAAAAACATTGCCTGGGAAGCAAGATAAAGGAGATGCTTGGTCCCAGCGGCAGAAGCAGCGGGAAGTCGAGTTGGCCAAGCAGGAAGTGCTCACTCCGCAGCTCCATCTGTAGAAGTCACCCATCATGTCCGATGGGGGAAAGCGGGGGCAGCCGGCGGGAGAGATTAATGCCCTCGCGGTCTGCCGCCTTTGATAATCTCTGGCAGAATGCGCAGCAGAGCCCCGAAAGCCAGAGGCTAACAAGCCCCCATGTTGACCAATGTATCAAGGGAGAGCCGGGGGAGCCAAAGATGGCAGGGAGTGAGTCAGTGGACTGGGGTCCACTCACACCGAGAAGTCCAGGGGGGCTAACATACCAAGGGACCGTCACCATGGTTTCGTTAGCCTAGCCTAGCTGCTGACAATGTTAGGGTCCCGCCCTGATAGCTGCGAATGCCTCCGTCTGGCGCTTCTCCACTACGGGCAAGCAAGCACCAAGGGGGCAAGCTGCCTGGGGGGAGAGAGACGGCTCAGCGTGTCAACATATTATGAAGCCTGAATCGCAGCCTCAGCACATGGTGACAGTGGCACGGTGCTGGAGTCCGGCAGTGAGGAATGGCTCTTAGCCATGGTAAGAGGGAATGTGCTTACCCACGATGTTTCTTCTTAGACTGCTGAATAAAAAGAGTGAGCCGATCACAGGTCACAGTGGCATTTATGCAATCGCGGCAGACCTGTTTGGGGACAAACCAGTGCAAGGCACAGGGTGCGACAGAATCTCTTCAGGACTGCACATGCACAAGAGGTGAACCCAAAAGCGACAGCTCTGAGAGGGTGAAGCCTATATGAAATAGAACCTTGACTTAGTACTTGGTTAAAGCACCTTTGTCAGCAACAACAGACTCAAGTCTCCTTGGGTTATAATTGGATTATAATGTGCATATGATTGAACAAATGTGAAAAAAAAATGATTGCCGTTAAAAAGAATTTGCATCATTATCATCTTAACTTTGACAGCCCTAATAATTCTCTTTTTTTATATTTGCACATATTCTAGATTTATACAGCCAGTATAGTATGTCTCTGAATGAATCCAACCTATTAACTTTGATGTATTGTCTAACAGAAGAAACGTCATTGATCTCCATGGGACTAAACTGATTTCTTGCTCTTTTAAAATAAACAGGACTCTCCCTTCATTAGAGATATCAAGAACATACTGATGTAATCCAACAGATCACCTATGCTCCATCACCACCACTAAACAGACCAACTGTCCTTTATTATATTTGGTTATTTCTGCCTACCTGGTGCTCTCATGGAAACCTCCAAACACCAACAGCTGTCTCTTGCTGAGGACCATGCGGTGTCCACTACGACCTGATGGACCACCAGGTGACCTGGAAAGACAACAGTCATCTCTAAGCACCGACGTCTACTTATATAATCATAAATGCTAAATAAAATTTCCAACACCTTGCACCTATGGGACTTGTATTACCTAATCCAGCTGGAACATTATCAACCCCTTTTTTTCTATTATCAAATGTGTGCAGCTGTATTTTCCATACTAAATGCATTTCTTATAAAACAGTATTTATAGCCACTATTCACATATTCAATTTGCCGTTCATTACTTCCATCTCTACAGCCTTTTGTTTATCTATTTTTAGGACCCTGTGAACGTACTTGATGTTCTCCCAGGTGTGTGTACCTAGGTGCAGCACCCAAAGGTCCTTGTAATGGTAGAACCTTTCCCCATTTGGGGAGGCAAACTCTCCCCCAAACACCCAGAGCTGGCCCCCGCCCTGGGGAACTACCACAGCCTGAAGGAGGGGTGAGATGGAGAAGAAGAACAGAGCTGCATGAACAGAGTGAGATAAGGTGGTTTGATGTCCTCAGAGTTAGATGGCTTGCTTGCAACAGGCCATCAGCCATGGTGCAAACTTAATACTCCTAAGTAGTGGAAAATAATTGGTTTACTGGCATATGATTTATAAAACAGAGCGAGACTCCAGTGTGAGCTGATATAATACCTGGTGAGAGCAGCGTGGTGGAGGCGAGTTGGGGATCTCTGATTTAACCCAGCTGTTCTTCTTGATGTTGTAGAAAAACAGATCATTGTACAAGTATGTCTGCAAACAAGGTGACACCAGGGTTTTACAGTCAGAATTTGTAAAAGAAGAAAATGTGTATCAAAGGTATGTAAAGTATTAATCAAAACTTGACTAAACAACAAAGGTCACTTTCCCCGTTAGAAAAACTACCGTTACCACTGCAAACTCTTCTACAAGGCTGTGATCTGACAGACAAAGATTAAATGTCACCAACTATCAAACTACCTACTCTTGCATTCTTTTGTCTTCAAAACACATCTTCGGAAAATCTGCATTCACAGTAAAAAGTTCCATAAATTGTTAAGAGTATTTTTAACCTTTTTTCCATTGAAGTACTCTCCTCCAAACAGGATGAGTTCATCTTTCTCAGGATGGGCAGAGAGCGATGCATTCAGTCTGAAACACATGACGAGACAACAGACATGTACATCCTCATATCATGGTGACTCATGCATAATGCTACAACTGCATTTTAACCACACTGGGGTGTAAACTCTTGAGGTTACAAGAATATGTTTCAGCAATCATCACACAGTTAAAAGCATAAGCTTCTTGCTTTTGATATGTTATTGTGTTACAAAGTCAGAAATTGACAGAGTAATAAAATTTGTATTCACTCAACTGTGTAACAGGCATCTGTGGTCATGGGATGGGCTATGGGTGAAATTCTAATGGGGAAAGACTATATTATAATAATAAAAAATATCTTATAAAATAAAATATTTGGTCAAAAGAAGCTCCTCTCCTTTATAACCACAATACACTGCACACCTGTGGTCAAACTACAAACAAGCAAACTTACAGAGGTTTCAGATGGCTTATAATGATGCAATGAGAATCTTACTTAAGAAACCTTGATGGAGCAGCAGGAGTGAAATGTGTGTGACTGCAGGGGTGAATACTTTTCAGTCTGTTTTAAGAAATGTTATGTATAATGTATCTGCTGCTTTGATGACCCTGAAAATGCAATAATTATGGTTTTGTCAAAAATTAAGCTCAGTACTATATGTACCAGACCCAGTTGTAGAACCATTGGTATAGTTGTGTTCTTGTGGTCCGGAATGAAATGGAATGGAATTGAACTGAATTGAGATTCACATTTCCAAATCTAATAAGACATGTACGTGTTTCACCTGGCTGCAAAACAAGTTGCCCAATAAGGACAACAAAGTTAAGTGGAAGTAAGTGATGCTGTATCTCACCTTGGTGATGGAGGTGGACATATTGTCTCTACAACCTGTGTTTTCTTTGCATCCAGATTCTGAAACTCATCAATCAGAGCCTCCAAATCCTCCTGGAAATGGGAACAAAAGTTACAATAAATAGGACAAAAACATAAGGACATAAAAGGCTTACAGAAAGTGACTAATGTTTGGGGGGGGTTGGGGGGGGGGGCTGCTGCACGCCCTTGCTGCATGATGTCACCATCTGGTTCAGTGCGGTCCAGGTGAAAATAGCATAGAAGGTCACACCCAGCTTCAGTTGGAAGTTAGAAGCTCATGCACAGTTAAAGGTCTGAAGAGTCTCATGTGAAATCATACAGGAGAGAAAACAGTCAGCTGAGTTTGTGGCAAAACCTTTTACACTGCTTACATATTGTTCTGTCTTTTACTGCCTATGATAAGTCATACTCTGAAAGTAGAACTGAAGTGACATTCATTACAAGATGATCAGTTAAAACATTTCAAAATGCACCTGCACTGTTTTGCATTTTGTGACTTTCAATCAAATAAAAGACTAGTTAAAACTAGTTAAATGTGCTATGCACAAAAATGTATCAATAATTATAGTCCAATAATATTATATACATCCATGTGAAATGCGCCATTCTACATAATGAGTACTTTTACTTTTGGTACTTTAAATATGTTTTGATGCTAATACTTTTGTACTTTAACTTAAGTAACATATTTATGAAGGACCTTTACTTGTAACAGTATTTAGTATTTTTATAGTTTGGCATTGCTACTTTTATTTAAGTAAAGAATCTGTGCACTTCTTCCTCCACTGGTTATGGTAAACACTAATGTAGTAGACAGAACGACTAGCTAAAACAGTTTTCACCACATAGCCTATTATAGGAGTACTAAACAGCTACCAAGTTAAACTTAAGCGCAGCCAAATGTCCTGCTTGTGTCATATAAAAGGGAGACATATTCAATTAAAGTTATATCGTCAAGTATTTAACCTGGGTTAAAAGTTACCTCTTCTCGTTTGGACCTCTTTGAAACCTTTTTCTCCATTTTGACAGCTGTCTTCACTGCTCCCTTCAGTTTCTTTTCCTTCTTGCATTTTTTGCCCATTGCTCCTTAACATACGCTTAATTCTTAAATGTTCCTTGTATTTATTCCGTATTTGAAACAAATCCGTGCCACATGGAAACCCAAACAAACTCACATGCCGAGAGCCCTTTGTGGGAGATTTACTTCCGGCAACAAACTTGATGTGGAAACAATTTGGAAATGTAACAGTGCCATCTAGCGTCGTGGATGACACCTAGAAATAAAGGCTTTGTACTGTAATACTGTAATGTGGGACTCGCACATTACACAATATACTGTATGTGGTTACACCCATACACAATCATATGAATATGCATGTCAACTTTTTAGGCTTACCTGTACAGTCTAATGCAATTCAGTGCAACCATGCTCACATAAAGTCCATTTTTATTAGGCTCATAAGCAGTGTTGGGGAAGCTACTTTGAAAACATAACTTTGCAAGCTACCAATTAATTGGAAAAAGTTGAATTACAGCAAAGCTACTCTAGTGAGAAATCTAGTTTGGTTAGCTGAAGATACTTAGAAAAAGAAGTTCAAGCTACACCCTGGACAGGACATTTAGCGACAGACAACCATACACACCCACATACACTCCTATGGGCAATTTTATAGTCACCAGTCAACCTAAGCTGCATGTCTTTGGACTGTGGGAGGAAGCCAGAGTACCCGGAGAGAACCCACGCAAGCACGGGGAGAACATACAAACTCCATATAAAAAGGCACCAGGAATGTCACAGGGAGAAACATCAGGTGCTAATGAGCAGGAAAATGTCTCAACACACTGATATGGCTTTTGTTTTTTGTTAAAACTCCTGTGACCGGCCATGTACAGACAGCAGCAAGGATCCCTCCTGCTAATTCATTTGTTTTTTGACTTTCAGTTAACATATAGTGTTCTGAAGCAATGATGCTGAAAAATCAGGTAACCAGTTTTTCTCAAAAATAAATTAAGCATCACTGAGATAGCATAGAGTTAAAGGCATGAAAACCATAAATGATAGTATGCGTTGTAACTAGACCAGGGCAGCTGTGTTTCTCTTATCCCAGTCACTCAAAACCTCTGTAATTTGAACCACAGCAATAATATGTAACACATAACTCACACTAACACAAGGGTGACAAATGAAAGGACAAGCCAACGCAAAGTGTCTCAGTAAGGTGTTGGGCCACCATGTTCCACCATAACAGCTTCAGTGCTCCTTGGCATTGATTCTCCCATAGGTGTTCATCTGGGTTGAGATCTGGTGACTGTGAAGGCCACAGCACATGATTCACATCATTTTCATCAAACCATTCAGTGACTCCTCATGTCCTGTGGATGGAGACACTGTTATTCTGGAAGATACCACCCATATATTCTGGTTTTTCCTTTCATTTGTCACCCGTTTATATAACTAGAGGTGGAGAAATATATTAGTGGCTGACACTCAGTGACATAAAATATCCATCTGAAGTGACATCTGGATGTTGATTCAGGCTATTTTTACAAAGAACTATTATAGACTGCAAAATTAAATGTGCCACTCAAATGACTGTACAACGCTGATTTGCAGTATCAGTGAGGATGTCTCATTTCTGCTTTCCGCTCTTTTGAATAGATTGGCCCCCTCAGGGTAAACGAAAACCTTATCCCTTATCCCCATCACTTGTAATTATTTCATATCTGTTGATTAAAAATGGATGCCCCAATGCTTAGAATTGACATATGAATTCATCAAGGCTCTTTTTCTGCTATGGGTATCAGTTTTTTCCAGTCATCTGTCAGTACACATTCATTTTCCTTCCCAGCATTTACAAACATTCACAAAAGCCCAGTCCATAATCCAAGAGGGCTGTTTCTTCTTTATGAAAAAAAGATGTGAATGACAGGGGGAAGAGGTGAATATTGTAGAGCAGGAAGTAGCAAAGATTAGAAAGGATGAGGTGAGGAAGGCTCTGGGGAGAATGAAGAGTGGAAAGGCTGTTGGTCCAGATGACATACCTGTAGAGGTGTGGAAGTGTCTAGGAGAGACAGCAGTGGTGTCATGATTCTGTCCCACCTGTTTCCGGTATCATGCTTTTATTTTATTATCACTTCCTGTTTCAGTCACACCCCGCATATGGACTCTTCACACTAATCAACACTCATTGTTTGCACCTGTTTTGACCCTGTTATAAGCACCGGAAAGCTGCCAGATTGTTCTAACCTCAGTTCAGATTTTCCAGCGGTTTTTTGGTACTTGTTACACCAGCTCTGACCTTGAATTGCTTTTTGACCACCGATTACTGCCTTACCCTCCTGCTTCTGATCATGTACTGTGTTTCAACCTCTGGATTTCCCCTTCTGATCAATCTTTTGTGGATACCTCGGCTGTGTACGCTTGCTGGCTCTGACCCTGGACTGTATTATTGACCTGAGTGTGTTTTCTGGACTCTTGCATTACATTCTGTTTATCGTGACCAGCATCTCAGTAAGGAGATTGTTTTCTGCTTAACGTCGTCTGGCATTATAATAGTGTTCACTATCTGCAGCTTTATGTGCCCTTCCTGACAAGTGGAGTTTCTATCTAGTTTGTTCAACAGGATTTTAGAGGGTGAGAAGATGCCTGAGGAATGGAGGAGAAGTGTACTAGTGCCGATCTTTAAGAACAAGGATGATGTGCAGAGTTGTAGCAACTACAGAGGTATAAAGTTGTTGAACCACACAATGAAGCTATGGGAAA